AGCACAGACCTGCAACACTGCTGTCCGGTGGCAACTCACGTGGACCTACCGTCCACCCACCCACCCACCATCTCCATCCATCCACCCATCCATCCACCCACCCACCCATGCATGCTTCCATCCACCCATCCTCCCATCCACCCACCCATCCACCCATCCTCCCATCCTCCCATCTACCGATCCTCTCATCCATCCATCCACCCCATCCATTCACCGACCTACCCATCCACCCTATCCATCCATCCGTCCATCCATCTGTCCATCCGTCCATCTGTCCATCCATCCATCCACCCTCTGATATTTTCAATGTGTCTACCATGTGCCAGGACTATTCAACAGCAAACAGTGAAGGGTTGATAACAGTCTCAGCCCTAGTGAGCCTTACCTTCTAACGGGGGCAGACAAGCCCCAAACCGCACAGCGATGGTACAGCCCTCTGCAATTGATTTAGCTCAGATGTCTCAAATTTGGAAGCCCAAAATAAAGATAATACACTGAGCAACTTGTTCATTTTTTTTAAGAAGTGAAAATTATGTTTTAATGGAGAGAAGATTATATTGTATGTTGGGTAAAGCACCCTCTGAATGAGCCAGCTTGAAAGTTCCTTTTGCGGCTCCCTGCTCAGCGGGGAGCCTGCTTCTCCCTCTCCCTCTGCCTGCTGCTCCCCCTACTTGTGTGCTCTCTCTTTGTCAAATAAATAAATAAAATCTTTTAAAAAAAGTTCCTTTTGCACCATACATATTAGCTACTTTATGCTACCTCAAGAACTCTGCCTTTCTTCCATTCTTAAACTTTCTAAGACCTTATGGTAATTTTTGACACACTTAAATGTTTTTCCTTATCTTACTGAACATCATGGGGAAAAAGTAATAAGCGACAAATCAAACACTTTATTATTAATAAATATAGAAGTGTTTAAGTCTTTTATTCTCGTAATAAAGAGTTTGACACCATTACTGATGTGAGACAGGTGACAAGTCTCAAGGCCACCACTTCCCTGTGCTGCCCCATGTCTGGGCAAGCTGATGAGAAATGCTGGGTTTTTCTTCCTTTGGCACCAAAGGGAAGCTCGCGTCACACAAGCCTGGCTGACATGGACTCCTCAGCCCTGACCACAAGGAAGGCAGTCAGTCTCCTCTCCCTCAATCTGCTCGGGAGTCACTCCCTCACCCCCAGAAAGCTTCACTGTGTGAATAATAAGCCTTCTCGTACCCTCCTCATGTGGGCATGACATCATCTGTCTTACCCCCAAACCAAGCCTGGGGGGAGGGGGAAGGTCTGTCCCACTTCTACGTAGTGGCCACAACAATCTAGTTTTTGCATCGAATATGAAAACGTCTTATACGGGATTATAATTACTTATCTGAGTATAATCTATCGATCATGTTTTATGATCTATATATATGCACTCATTAAAGTTCAAGTAGTAAAGACACAACAGTTAAAAAGGTTGGAAGACACTCCTGACATGATGATGTACACTTTTATCCTCAGTATGTAGAGAATGTTTAAATGATGGAGACATTCGACTAGAAGGGACATGTCGTCAAATGGAGCAGGTAGCCACAATGGCATGTAAACTGACAGACGCCCCACGCAGCAAAGCATCCTTGGGGGGACCCGGCCAGTGGAGAAAAAATCCACGGATGCTTCTTGTCCTCCCTTTCCCCAGTGTCACAGGTCTAGAAGGAAAGAGGCTACTTCTGTTTGACTAAGAACACACCCCCCCCCAGGCGGCATCACGGTAAGTGGCTTGGCGAGGCCGAAACGTAGCGAGAAGCAGTTTTAAATGCACGTGCTACTGAGGCCAAGCCCTGTCAGGGGCGGTGACGAGGGCCTGCACCTCCGGGAAGGGCTCGGTCACTAACCCCCCTCCTGAAACCAACAGCAGAGTGTGTGCGAACTAACTGGAATTTAAATAAAAACTAGAAAGGAGAGAGAGAAATACCTGCATGACTTTTCTTCTTAATTTCACGGCTCCAGGGGCGCCTGGGTGGCTCAGTGGGTTGAGCCTCTGCCTTCAGCTCAAGTCGTGACCTCAGGGTCCTACAATCGAGCCCCACTTGGGCTCTCTGCTTAGTGGGGAAACCTGCTTCTCCCTCTCCCACTCCCCCTGCTTGTGATCTCTCTGTCAAATAAATAAATAACGTTTTTTTTTTTAGTAAAATCTTTAAAAAAAAATATTTCACCGCTCCAGATACAGAAAACGTCGAGCCTTCAGTATGGATTTTCACTACAAAATCTGGTCACGTTGGCTTCCATTCTGCTTTGTGTTCCCCCGGTCTGGGGCCACAGATTTTTCAAGGCAAAGAACAGATGGTGAGGGGAACGTGCAGGTCAGAGTCAATGCCAGCTTTCCGTGGGAGCCTGGGCTGCCCGTGAGCCCCCCAGGACTCAGAGCCCCACATCGTTGTACCTGGAGGGCACCCGGCACACTGAGAGCACTCACGGCCCCACACCGCCCTCTGTACGTGGGTGTCATCTCCTCGGTCCCCAGCACTGAGTGAGGTTCCTGGGGCTGCAGAAAGTGAGCCGCATTTGCGCAGACAAACCACGGTAAGGCGCGCATGACAGTGGACAGGACCAAAGGGGCGAACAAGGCTCAGCTTCAGTGACCCCTTGCCGCGTCAGTGGTTCCAAATTCCATGTTCTCTAAGGGAGGATAGGACAGCCGGGGGCGCTGCTCCTCCGACCGGCCAGCCTGGCTTTGGGGCCATCCCACAGCCGGACCGGTTTGGGGCGGCACCCAGCCCGGCGTCTGACCCCAAGGCCCCTGCCCGTCACGGACAACTGCGCTGATTTTCCAACACTCCCTCCCAAGGCACAGATAGGTGCGCGAGTTCTCAAGTCCAAGACTAGTGCTCCCTGGTTTAACCCTGAGGCTCCACCTGTTCTGGAACTAAATGCCACTGACCGTGTGACATTACGTAAAAACAAGCACAAAGAAGGCAGAAAAAGCACTCCCTTTCCATACCTGAACTTCCAGAAAGAGCCCTACAGTGTGTACAGAGCCTTACACTTGCCTCTGGGCACAACGATCCGTGTTCCGGCAGCACAGGCTGTGCCGCCCCACAAGCCCGAGATCCTTCGTGTCACAGGGACCCGACACAGCGCGCCGAACCTTGGAATGTGAGCCACTGTGGACACGGGGCTCCCGCAGGGGTAAGGAAGGCAAGGACTGCAGCGGGCCCTCAATGCAGGGACGCAGAGACAAGGCAAACAGCTGCGATGAGCTTGCCAGCCTGGGATGGCGAGCCCCGCAGCCCCCGGGCAGAGCGCGCCTCAGAAGGAGAAGGGGCTGGAACAGCAGGGGCAGGAAGGTCACAGAGCCCACGTGTCCAGTGCACCCGCCTCCTGCACAGCAGCTCACAGGGCTGTGCTGGGAGAGGAGCCCTCGCCAGACTGGGGGGAAGGAGGCGCCTCATCTCCCAGGACACAGGGCTACCAGGCCTCGCTGAGTGCCCCGGAGCTCACCCCCGGCCTCTGCTATCTCTCTGCCTCATCAGACACGTCTAACGGCATCCTTGGGCCTTCATTTCCCCACAGACTCCCGTGTCCCGCACGACTTACACTCCGCACCTTTAGCAGCTTCCCGTCTGTCACACATCCAGCCGGGGCCCCTGAGGCTGGAGGGAATGTTCCCCTCCCCTGAGCAGCACCCCTCAGATGCTGGAAGACAGTGTGGGGTGTCTCGCTCACGGCCCCCAGCACAGGGACCCATGCCATGCTCACGCTGCCCTCCTAGGCCACAGACAGAGTGGTCCCCTGGCGGTGAGCCATTCTGCCCCGGGCACTTTGTCACCACGTCCCTCAGGGACCGGTGGACTTGTCCAGATCACCTCCGTTATCAGCCCAGAGTCACACAGCCCCTGTGTCAGACACCACTAGTGACCTGCCTGAAACGCGTGCTCCTGGAAAGTATTCACTGGGTGGGCCCATCGCAGACACGACGATTCCGAGCTGGGGAGAGAGAAGCCAGGGAAAGAGAAGACTTCAGGGAAGACTGCCCTGTCCTCCCGCTGGCAACAGAGAGGTCTGGCCCGGGACCCCCGCAGCCAGCAGAGGCTGGGGCAGGAACCATGCTCTCGGGACGCCAGTGCAGCGGGGTCAGAGGGGCTCAGGTCCCTGGCGGCTGGGGCCTTGCCCTGTCACCCTGGGCCTCCGGATCGTACAACGATGATAAAATACACCCAAGCTTCGTGTCTGTCGCTGGGCTCCAGCTGACACCAGCGCGAACTACAGCCCCTGCTCAGTGCCAGCCTTGGGGTCTGCCCCCGAACACCCAGAATGCCCATTCTCACCTGCTTTCCCGCCAAAGCACAGAGGCGACCAGCACAACATCCCTACTAGATGCAGTGCGGACAGGCCTCGCGCTCGTCTGGGCCGTCACACGACAGCCCACAAGCCCCCAGAAGGCTGGCGTCCCGATGAGGCCGACAGCGTGGGGAGTGTTAGCCTACGGCAGTGCGGACAGAAGCAGCTCAGACGTGGCTGGACAGTGCCGGGAAGAGAGAAGACAGGCTCGAGTTCCTGTCCGGGTAGCCGGGAAGGCCCCAGAGGGAAGGCGACATCTGGGCCAATGTCCGGAGGAAGCAAAACCACTGGACGGGAGCCTTCCCAGCAGGAGAGACGGCAAGTGAGGGACCATGACCCACCCCCAGCTCCCGATCCGGAAAGTGAGGTGACTGGACAAGACCATCTCCACACGCCTTCGAAGGGGTATGGGGACTGCCGGAGCACATCCAGCCCGAGGACGGGCTGCAACCCTGCTGGAAAACACCTCCCACCTGACAAAGGTCTAGCTCCTGCGGGAGTTTCTCTTAGTCCAGTGGTGGGTCACAGGCGAAAAGGGAGTGGAGACTGTGCTGAAGTCAAATACACTTTGGAAACTGGCTACTCACTGCAGGACTCCTCAGGTCCTTTAAAACGCCAGTGCAGACCATGACGACAGAATGTGAATTGTGGCATGCAGACTCTGCCAGACTCACCTCATCCGAAAAGGATGCAGAGTAGCTGAGGAGATGGTTCCACGGAACACACTTTGGGAACAAATACTGTACACTAGAGGCTGGTACACATTTTCTGTAAAGGACCAAATAGTACCTATTTTAGGCTCCATGGACCAAATGTTCTGCTGCAACTCTTTGATTGGCCATTCTAGCTTGCCAGCAGCCAGAAACTCGTACTTATAAACAAACGAGCAAAGCTAAGTTACTAAATTTCAATTTAATACACTTCTTACATATCATAAAATGTTAGCTATTTTTATTTTTTTCAACCATTTGAAGTGTGAACCATTTTTAACTCACTGGCCATACAGAGACAGAGGGAGGACTGGATCTGACCTGCAAGCTGTACTCCACCAACCCTGGCTTTAAACAAATGTACATCTATCCTTTTTGCCCTTTTTTTGTAATCGGTACTTATCTTTTTAACGCACTGCTTAAAGTCACATGGCTGGCATCCTGATCACCAGAAAAGGTGGTTGTAAATCACATTTCCAAAATGTATTTGAGGCCAAAAATGGTTCAGAAGAAAAATCACATTTTTAGACACAGCTCCTTTATAATTACCTCTTGCTAGAAAAATGAAGTCTAATTCTGCCTTGACAACAGAATTATTAGGAAAAGTGGCCTATATTTTTCTAATATTGGTTTTTATTTTCCTCTCTAAAATTTTTGAAAATCGAATTATCATTCTTTCTCCAGAAGATACTCTAAACGCATTGTCTTACGTGGAAAGGAAGCATTTGCAGGCGGCCTGGCCTCAGCCAAAATTGCACTTACCGTCGTCTGGAACACGGTCACCTGCCTTCTTCCTCCCCACCGGGCATCTACTTACTATTATCACTGCTTCCAAACCGGCCAGTCCCCTCTCCCTCTCCTGCCAAAATCTAAACACCGTCATGCCCCTTCATCTCCCACTTTTCCTTTAAATCTGTGCTCACAGTAAATCAGAGCCTCACTCTCATGATGGTGTAAATTACTTACAAAAGCAAACAATGTTAGGATCCTGTTGGGTGTGTGTGCATTTAAGCAGAAGGAATGAAGATTTACCTCTGGGGCTCCCACCCCCAGGCAGCCAGCAGGTGGGGGAACCAGGTATTCCAGGAACCTCAGGTAGGTTCCCAGTCCTGAAATCGCATTCCATAGGAAGCCATGTCCCTCAGCCAGGAGAAGAGGCGCACACGGCCCCAGGCAGAGGCTCTGGTCAAGGCTCACTTCCGCCCCATGAGATGAGCGCAGATGGGGGAGCAGGTGCCTCCTCCCCTCCTTGTGGAAAAGGACAAATAGCTTTCCCTCCACTCTTCTGAGTTCTCGGCTGACACCTCCTGTAATAAAAAACAGATTAATGAGAAAAGCACAAAGTTTACTGACATGAACACTTGGTGCATCCAGGAAGACAGATACCCAGGGGAAGTAAGTAAGTCCCTTAGGCGGCCTGAGCCACTGGCCAAAACACCATCTTCAGAACAGATGGAGAAGGTGTGTGTGGGGCTGCGGGGGACATCGGTCCTCCTCCTTAGATACCTTAGACACTCCTGTGACGGAGTCCCCCTTTGGCTTCCTGGAGTGGATGGAGATTTCCTTTATAAATGTCAATGTCCCTCGTCAGAGACTAACTTCTGCATCTGCTATTTCTCAAAATGATCAGCTCGCGAAAATGCTGATGCCAGAGAAGCAGGTTTTGGGGCAGTTGATCCTGCTTCCTTCCCCACAACATTCTGAGCCTGAACCGGGACTTCAACTGCCTCCATTATGACCTCAGTGTATACCTCCTAATTAAGTTCTCGCTTCACTCGGGCACAAGACGGGAGGGGTGGGGTGGGGCATGCCAGGCGCCCCGTGGCAAGCACACAGACCACCCTGCAAGCAGCGGAGACTGTCCTGACGCCAGCACGACCACCAGCGACCTGACCTTCGCTACCCGCCCTCAGGGACCCGCCGACCACTACCCACACTGTCATCATCTAACCCGGATGTCTTTGCATGATTTGGAGATGCCAGCCCACCATCTTTCCGTCTCGGCCTCACTGAGATAGACCCCTTTCAGGTCTCTCTGTCTTCAGACTCTGTCAGCAGCGAGGGCCCTAGTCCGGTCTGTTTGGGGACAAGGTGCTCTTGCACTCCTGATCTCCAGCTACGAACCCTATCTCAGGAAACACAGCGTCTGATCGGAATGCTGCCAGCAAAGACTTGGAACCTAAGGCCCTCTCCCTGCTGAGATTTTCAAGCCCCAACACATAAAGGGAAAGGATCGAGGGGCTTGGCTGATAGCTGACCACTAAAGCGGGGTATTGAGTTTTCTATCATTGACTCTTACTTAGTCGGACTTTTGTTAAGGTACATAAAATACACCAATGAGCATTCAACCCAGTGAGAAATGCTCGCCCTGTCCACCCTCACAGGCTTGGGACCGCCACTCTCGCTGAGCAACACAGTCGTGTAGAGCATAGACAGACTCCCCCGCACCCGCGATCAGAACGCTTGTGTCGAGGACAGAGCACCCCGACTGCAGATACAGTGGCCTTCACGCAGCACACACACTGCACTTCCCCCGGCTTCCGCTCACTAGCTTCTCCACCAGGGGATGCCATTTCTCAAAATCCCTGCTCTGATGGTGACGTTTTGCAGGAACCAGAGAGCAGGCTGAGAAAGAAACAGGACCTTCCTGTTCTCATGTTACATTACACTTTCCAGCCATTTGAAGTCAGTGTAACCCTCCACTAAGTACTTGGCAAACTTTAAATCATACATCTGTGAAGCTGGATTTTTTTTTTTCCTTCACGTCACCTTTCACCTACTTTAAAATAAACCACTCATTGTTCAAAGGGGAAAACTCAAATTTCTGTTTTCGTTTGTTTTTTTTTTTTTAAGTAATCTATAATAGAGTAAAACATTGCTGGAAGGTTTGCAATGAACTAATTTACTGTTCAATAAATCTCTAGGAAAATGAAGTGAGTGGGGAAATCAGCTTTCAACCTTGAACATGTAGGCCTCTGTTTTTTTTTTAATTAACAAAATGTAAACTCTTTTTTTAAATTAGAAAGGTACATGAACCTGATTCTCTAATTGTTTACGTTACACAGAAACCTAGAGAATCAAGGGAGAAAAGTCATAGCCCACTTTCTTGTGTTGCTTGATTTAATATTAAAATACTAAAAGCAAGTGTATGGAAATAAGTGTGTTTGCAAATTTTTTTAGATTTGAGTTTTAGTTTTGCTTACATTTTCCCAGATTTTATCACTAGGAGATCATAAAAGCTATTTTTAAAATCATGAACTACAAGGCCTTCAGGGAGGGACACAAATCAGCAGCAGGGTGTGGCTAACAGAAAGCAGCCTCCTCTCCTGCTTCCCTGCCCTCTGGGGCTGGTTTCCCCCTTTCCATCCACCTGCAACCCTCAGGCCTGAAACCTGAGGACACTGTTTGCAACCTTCCAACATCCTCACCCTCCCAGGCTCCGATGCCTTTGCACACACCGGCCTCTCCGCTTGCAGAGCCCTCTCCCCTAGGACCCCTTCCCACCAGGCTAGGCAGGTGATTTTCAAGCATCACCTCAGATCACACCTTCAGTGGCGTCCAGGCCCCGCTCAGGAACCGTGAGTACGACCTGGTCCTTGCATGGACGGCATCCTAGACGCACTTAGGCGAAGTGAGCTTTCTCTGATCAGGCAGCTTTTTCGGTCCAGAGGGGCTCTGGGGAGCACGGGCCGGGCATCTGCCGTCTTCATGGCTCACGGACTCTCGGCCTTGCAGGGTGGGCCGTGGGGACGGCACGGAGGAGCCAGGGCTCGGTGCTTCGGCTGCTGGGGCTGGACCCTCGGCTGACCGGGGGTTCTCAGGGGCTCCAAGCACCAGCAGGGCCGGTGGTGCCCGGGGCCTGGAGCAGAGCGCCGGCCAGAGCGGGTCCCGGCGCGGGCCGCAGTGGACACGCAGGAAAGCAGAGCGGGAGACCGTGCCTGCAGGACAGGATGCAGACTTGCTGTGACACGGGGCTGGGGGTCAAGGCGGGCGTGCGGCACCGCGTCCTAGGCTGACAAGGGTCGCCGCAGGGAGGTCACGGCCGCGGCTGCGTGCGGAGCAGGTGGCACTGGGCGCCGGTGGGGACCGCGGGCCCGGCTTCGGCGCCACGTGCGCTCAGCAGACTGTGGGGGGCAGCCCGTTGACTTGACTTCCACTTACTACACTGTTTCCACGGGGAAAGGGATCTGGGTGCTAAACCGAGTTTCAAACACTTCCTTGGAACACAGTCCACGCGTCGTGTGGGACTGACTGTCCTCAGGACCCAGCCCTAATGGCCATGGGTCGCCGCAGTCTGAGCGCAGGCGCAGTGAACTCCACAGGCAGGATTCGTCTGAGCAGCCTGAGCGCAGGCGCGGCGAACGCCGCAGGTAGGACTCCCGCAGGCAGCTCTGCGCAGGCGCAGCGAACTCGGAGGCCAGCCCCGCAGGTCGCTCTGCGCAGGCGTAGTGAATTCCGCAGGCAGGACGCCCCCTACGCCCCTGCGGGCCGTGCTGCGCAGGCGCAGTGAGCACGTATTTGGCCAAGTCACCACTTTCCGGCGTCAAAGAACGTTTGTACTTTTCCACTGCTGTGAAGTGATTTCTGCCAGTTCGCTGGTTGGCGGAGGCCGAGACCCGCTTTCACAAGCTTGCTTCGCCTGCCAAGAAGGCGGAGGCTGCGCGCTCGCAGGGGCCCGCGGCGGCGCGGGAAGAGCGGGCTGGGACGGGGACACGGGGGACACGGGGGCCGGCTCGAGGGGACGCTCGCACTCCCTGAGGTTAAGAACGGCTCCCGGAGCACCGAGGGAGTGGGGGCCCCGCGTCACGACAGAACGGGCACGGCCGGCGGGAGGACTGGAGCGGGGAGGGCCGGGCTCGGGGAAGGCCGGCGGCTGGACCCACTGTCCTGAGTGGCGAGACCAGCGGGCAGCGAGGGACGCCGGACCCCCTGAGAGTGGGGGCACGGCAGCTGGGGAGCCGACCGGGGGCCGCTGGCTCTAGCTCCTCGCAAGAGGTCCGGGTGGAAAACGGCGTAAAGGCTGCGCGCACTGAACAGCCCCGTCCTCTGTCCCCGTCTGCACCTGAGCCAGGTTTCCAGCTTGGACCCCAGTGACGAAAGGACAGGGCCAGTCCCCAGGAGGAAGGGCCCAGGAACACCACAGCACATCTAGGTGGCCGCGGCCCCCCGGCCCAAGACACCGGTGGCCACGGGCTCACGGAGCTGCACACTGGGGCCCGGGAAGGGCCAGAGGCACCCGAGTCCCTGGACACAGGGTCCATCAGCGGCCAGAAGCCACAGCATGGACCCCTACAGCCCTAACGTCAGCGTGGGGTCCAGCTCGCAGTGGGCCCGCCGGCTCCGCAGGACACCCCAGTGTCCACGGCCCTCGGCCCCAGGGGTATCACCAACACACTTGCAGAACCTCCCGTCAGGCGCTTGGCCTTTGGGGTGCGGACTGTTGGTGCAGAAGTTGGAGCTCGAGCCTAGAGCTGCCCAGTCTTCGCTCCCAGGCGAGATCCCAAGCAGAGCCCAGGAAAGCAGTGGCTGTCCGTGAGCGCTCCCGGTCAGGTGGAGATGGGCTGCAGGAGAGGAAATCAGGGAAGGGGGCTGAGACTAAACATGGGGTCTGGAAGGAGGCCCACGGGAAGATGACACGGGAGCTAAGGCCTGCAGAATGCCAGGGCTGGAGCCGAAAGAAAGAAACTGGCCCCAAGGTTTTTGGTTCGGGCGTCTGGAGGGACAGTGTGGTCATTTACATACATGCAGGAGAGAGAGCGCCTGACGCCGGTGGCTGTGGGCACTGGTGAAGGAGGCAGGCTGCAGCTGCTTGGGGACTGGACAAGTGTGATGCTGGCCCAGCGTCTGGCCTGCAGGGGTGCAGTCACCGATGAGCAGGGCTGAGGCTCAGACTGGCTTGAGGATCCCTCGTGCAATAACCAAAGCTAGAGGGTCCTCCTCAAAGGCTCGCATTCTCTGGGCCTAGCATGCTGTCTTCAGTTGGTCCTTGTTCTGTGAACAAATTAATAACATGATTTTTTTCCTCCCACTCCAAAAAACAATACACCTTAAAAGTCCATAAAAACGGTATCTGAAAAAGACAAAAACAAAACATCCAAAGCCATCTAAATGTCTAGTAATAAAATTAAAAAACTAATTCATTCGGACACTAGATCACTCTGATCATAGTGCAGCATGGAAACGTGGTTTTGTAGAACAGTAAAGGAAAGGAAATGATAAAAATGTATAGGAAAGCAAAAAGTATACAAAATTAAAAAACAAAATCATAACAATGACTGTGGTTTAAGGAGATGAAGTTATTAGGCAATTTTTGTTTTATTCTTTCTATTCTCTAAGTGTCAAATGTGTCACTATTACTGATCATTATTAAACATTTTAAGATTTTATTTTTAAGCAATCTCTACACACAACGTGGGGCTCAAACCCACAATCCTGAGATCAAGAGTCACCTGCTCCACTGCCTGAGCCCAACAGGCACCCCTCCAATTAAATATTTGAAAGTGAGCACCTGGGTGGCTCAGTGGGTTAAGCCTCTGCCTTTGGCTCAGGTCACGATCTCAGGGTCCTGGGATCGAGTCCAGCATCAGGTTCTCTGCTCAGCGGGGAGCCTGCTTCCCCTCTCTGCCTGCCTCTCTGCCTACTTGTGATCTCTCTCTGTCAAATAAATAAAAAAAATTTTAAGTAAATAAATATTTGGAAACTGTACTCACTGTCTTCTCCTTCCCTGTTCTCACTGGGACACAGGCCCCAACTGGTTCCCACACCAGGACTGATGCAGGCTAGGCCTGAATTCAGGATGTCCCCACTCCCTTCTACTGCCCAGACCTGGAAAGACCTTCTCAGAACTCCTACTGGATAGGTCAGTCACACCTGCTGGATCCTATCTTACCATCTCCCTCCCTACTCCTCCTCCACGTCCTGACCAAGCCTCTGATACCCCCCTGTCCTGGGGCTTCCAGAGCCATGGTGTCCGTCAGTGAGAAGGGTGGGGGTGGTCAAACAGACACCTTAACTTTTATTTTTATTTATTTATTTTTAATTTTGTTTTAAATGTGGGCTCCACGCCCAGCCTGCGGCCCAAACTCACAACCCTGGGGTTAAGAGTCACCTGCTCTACCAGCTAAGCCAGGCAGGTACCTGGACACCTTTGACTTTTAGCTATGATTATGGCAACTACTCAAGGTACTATTCAGAACTGAGTATATAAAACTTTTAAATATACATATATATTTATATATAAATAAATACATAAAATTGTCATGTCTATAACCAATAGTCACACATATATGTACAAAATTTATACGTATAATTCAAATATATAATTTATAAAATAAATAATATACTATTTTACTTAATATGGGAAAGCTACTACTTAAAAAATGTCAATTAGTAGGCAAAATAGATCTTAGAGATGAGGAACATGAGAAAGGTATTAGGACATGGATCCCTTTGGGGGAGAATTCAGAATATACTGCTGTTCAACAAAGGACGTTAGGTATCTTAAATCCTTTTTGAAATAAGATGGAAAATTAGCAACTACAGGAGATACCAGAATCCAAAAGGAGCCATCCAAAAATGAACTCTAATAGGGAACCAAAATTTCATAGAAAATAAGTTTTTGCATTTTATTTTGAAAAAACATAATGAAATGAAGTATCTTTTCTCTTAGTTTGTGATTCCCCAAAGTCAAGAATTTACTGTATTATTGGTGTCACTTTCTGAGAACCTTCATCACCAGGTTTGACCTCTGCAGCTGCATCGCAGAAACGACTGTCTGTATGAAAATATGAAAGGGCTTCACTGTTTTCCCCTGAAGGTCTCCACGGAATCTAGCTTTGTTGTTTTGGCCTCCAGTTTTCATGTATTCTTACCCAGCTCACCCCGATTGTCAAACACTCTGCCGTCTCCAACATTACCTTCCTTCCTGAAAGTACGGAATCCTGTGAATTTGACCAGATTAACAATGTCATTTAGAAATCAATTTCCAGGGGCGCCTGGGTGGCTCAGTGGGTTAAAGCCTCTGCCTTCGGCTCAGGTCATGATCCCGGGGTCCTGGGATCGAGCCCCACATCAGGCTCTCTGCTCAGCCAGAGGCCTGCTTCCTCCTCTCTCTCTCTCTGCCTGCCTCACTGCCTGCTGGTGATCTCTGCCTGTCGAATAAATAAACAAAATCTTTAGAAATCAATTTCCAGTGACAATGGGGCCTCTGGGTGGCTCAGTTGGTTAAGGGCCCAGCGTCCCATTCTTGGTTTCAGCTTAGGTTATGATCTCAGGGTACTGAGATCAAGCCCCATGTCGAGCTCAGTGGGGAGTCTGCTCCAGAGTCTCTCCCTCTCCCTTCCCCCCACACTCCCACGCTCTTGTGCACTCTCTCTCTCTCAAATAAATAAATAAATAAAATCTTTTTTTAAAAAAGGTATCAGTTTCCAATGGCAAGAAGACCCATGGGCCGGCAAGGACATAGATGCGAAGGAGTATTTGAGGAGAAGTCATCGGTTCACAGTTTCAGGCTCTGCCGTTAAATGCCAGGATGTGATACTCACTGCTCAGATGACCCACACCCTCCCAGAGCATGAAGGAAACTTCCAGCATTTAGTCAAACCCTCATTTTATAATTCAGCCTCAGGGCACAGATCGCACCACAAATGGGGAGCAGCTCAGGGCTACATTCCAGATCTGCATCGTGTCCTCTGTAATCATGGGGGAGGGGTGGACGGGAGGTGATGCGGACAAGTCCCCCACCTGGAAGAACCGAACAGCTCATCCCCAAACCTGCTCGGTCAACCTCCCCAGGCCAGGCCAGGGCCGTGCTGACAGACCAGCAGGCTGAGATCACACCACTGTTCACTGGGTCTAAATGAGCATGACAGCATGGCTATTAGCTAATCCTGCTGTTTCAAAAGCAATATTCAAGGGCCAGTCACTGAAATGAAAACAAAACCAACCAACCCACAACTCACATACCATCTAATAGGAAACAAAGGGAGAGGAAGCACCCCACCAAATTGTTCAGGGCTCGTCATCTCCCAGGCCAGGCTGCAAGCCCAGGCCTAAACAGTCCACCCCGCCCAGCCCCACCTTATTCCTCTTTTTCTCCAGGACATCTTTAGGGAGGGGCCGGTCTTATGCAAGGCAGACAACACTTCGTTGCCTCCTGGCTTCTGGTTCCCAGCAGCAAGGCACGTGAAGGCGAGGGACAAAACC